GAGCTGCCCTTTTACAGAGTCACCTGCATACCAAACTTCGGTTGCTTCTCTGTGGCTCCAGGAGAGGACGCCGGAGGGCTCTCTCGCTTCCTCTCCCCCACGATGCACCCTCCACTGTTCAACTCTGGTCTGCAATTTTTGTAATAGACACCGTTGTTTCTGTTGTGTTGCAGAGAATTTAGTAAACCTTTACTCCCTGCGGGAAGAGCTGGCATCTTGATTTCTGAAATATTGCACCTTCTATGCAAACAAATGGTAAGTGTTGCCAGGGCTCTTCCCTGTTTGAGTGTGTGTGCAAAAAATACCTGTGGTCTAAGCAGACAAAGAACCTGGGATCCCAACCCCTTCCACACATGGGGCTTAATTAACTGTGTGGCAGACGTGCGTCTGGGCTACCGAGGTCCCGCAGTCACAGAGGACATCCTGTTTCAAAGATCCATAGAATAGAGATTTGTGCCTAATTGCTGTTTGGGCCTCTGACCTGTTCTTGAAAATTTTCAGAATCCTTTTCCTGGCCTGCAGCTGCCCGGGGGTGAGCCCCCTCCAAGGCTTTTGGTTAGAAAGAAACTTGTTGAGCTCCACCAGCTGCATGGATTCCCATGCATCCATGTGCAGACGAAACTGAGCTAACCTGTGAGAAGGGGGGGTAGATGAGCTGGGGGAAGGCAAGACTTTTGCTGCTTAATATACGTGTGTGTTGTGAAGAACCGTCCTGGTAGGGCCCAGGGATGCTCTAAACCAATGCAGAGGAGCGCTTGTCCGAGGGTCCCAGGTGTCCCTCTGTTGGCCTCTCGCAGCCAAACCCTGTTCCTTTCTGTTCTAGAGCCATAAGAAAGTGGCCACCTTGTGGAAGGAGGCTGGCCTCAGTTGGAAAGACTTCATGCCGGAAGAAGAGGACATCCACGCCTTTCTGGTGGAACAGGTGAGTCTGGCTGGACCCTGCGGGAAGTGTTTCTTTGGGTCCCTCGGTTATTTTGAGGGAGAAGGCCAACCACTTCTGGAACTCTTGGGTTTGGGTCAGGAGAACTGGGTCCCTCTTCTGTGCCACCCAGCTCTGGGGCGGGGGGTGGCGGCGGCAGCTGCAAAAGCAGTAGCTTTTCATTTAATTCCTCACTGGGGTCTCTCAGACCGTCTCTGGGCTTCCCTTCTTCTGAAGCTGCTCTTCCTCTCCCAACCCTGCAGAAGTTGGAGTTCACAGAAACGGACAGTCCCAGTTCCTCCGAAGCACCTTCCAAGGGAGAACTCTCTGCTGATGAGCTGCACAGACAGCTGGAGAAGCTCATTATGGAGGACAAAGCGAACGACGAGCAGATCTTTGATTGGGTAGAGGTATAACTGTCATGTTGACGTCCCACAAACCGGCTGTAGGTGGCAGGGTCTAACTCGGGGTTAGGCAGACCCTGTCCCAAAGGGTGGCCCCTTGTCTTTGGTTCCCCCTGTTCCTCCTGCACTCAGAACCATAGAGCCAGACCAAGGTGTTATGAAAGCCACCTCTAATCTTGGATAGGTGCCATGCCTTCCTTAACCCTGTCCCCTTGACTGCTTTCAGCAGAGCCTGGGTTAGTCCTCGGAGGTGGCCTCTGTCACTGGAAGAACATGTTGCTGTTGTGATCGGGGTGACAAAAGGGATTGCAGGCCTTTCCAGCTGCCGCTGCCGCTGTAGCTGCGTTTGAGAGCCTTGCACTTCAGGGCTATCGGAGAAGAAGGGCTTTTTTGTTTGACTCCGCAGACCATGTTCCTGCTGAGTGAACAGAGCGGAAGGCAAAGGGTTGTGTCAGCCATTCCCCAGCTCCCCTTTGCTCCCTGGGAGAGCTGATCCCATAGAAACAGGTTTCATGCATGAGCCTATTAGGGTTTTGTCTGCAGGGGGCTCTGTCAGAAGAGAGGCTGTCCCGCAAGGGATGGGATTTATAACTTCTGCAAATGCTCTTGATTTCAGGCTAATCTAGACGAAAGCCAGATGAGTTCACCTACATTCCTTAGAGCTTTAATGACAGCGGTTTGTAAAGCAGCCATTATCGGTGAGTACCAGCCATACAGGAGTCACCCAGTGTCCCAGCATTCATCGCCAGAGTTTCGCTGTAAGGCCCCAAGCGGTCGTTATTTCATGAGACGGGAAGAGCGCAGGATTTCAGTCTTAGCAGTGCATGCCTTCAGGGCTCTCACCATGGGTGGCCAGGAGTAGACAGGTTCATTTCTTGCCTTCAGTTAATAGATATAGACCAGATGGGTGGGATATAAATCAAATAAATAAATAAGATAGAAATACACACACACAACTTAATGTGTGTGTGACCATTTCAGAAGTTTGGTAAAGTCCTGTGGGCAGAGGAGACCCTGAACCACTTGTATGTTTCTCTGTAAAGTTCACTTCTTAGGCCTGGTTCTGGACGGCTGTGTTAGAGAGGGGAGGGAGTCTTTCCGCCACCTTTGATCTCTGGAGGAAATGGGGGTCCTGAGCACATGTCCTGGTGAGACAGATAACGACAGCAGGCTTCCCCAGCACTCCTTTATCCTCCTGCTGCTTGCTGCCTTCTTTCTCCCCAAACTACTGGGTGTTGTCTGTCCATGGATATGCCTAGCTGAACTCAGCGGCCACTCCCTGGTCCAGCCAGCCGTGTAGAAATGCTGATGGATAATTCCTTCTTTCCCTCCAGTGGAGAGTTCAAGCTTGCGAGTGGACACTGCTGTGATCAAGCAGAGAGTGCCGATCTTACTCAAGTATCTAGACTCAGACACAGAGAAGGAACTACAAGCACTTTACGCACTACAAGCATCAATAGTAAAACTTGAGCAGCCTCCTAGTAAGTATGATCTCAGCGAGGGAGGGAGGTGTTGGGTTGCCTTAGGAGGGGGAGACCGCTCAGTATGAGGTTAAAGAGAAGATACACCGTCTGTTTGCAAAACCTGTGGCTAGCACTGTAGGAGCCTAAAAGCTAATTTTCAGCATGCATAATTCTCCTTATCTAGTAGGGGGCTCTCAGGAATCCTGCTAGGCTCCCACCTGGGAGGCTGCATGTTTTTCCTTGTCAGCAGCCCAAGAAGATGGCCCTATTAATTCCTCCTTCGAGGGGACCCAAGGTAATGGAGAAGGTGGGACAGATGAGGGGTCTCCTTAAGCAAAGATGGGTCCCTCTTCCTATTAAAGTGGTGCCAGAAAAGCAGGTCCCTTGTTACAAACACGAATCCTTGCAACCTTCCCCCCCCCTCCATTTTGGAGTTAAGCTTCAGGAATCTGAAGCATGAAAGGCAGCCTCCAGCAACTCCCCACTCGTTGCTCAGACTGTAGTCCTTCCTTCTGCTCAACACTCTTGGCCTTCTTCCTTGGAAGATGGATGCTGCACTAGTCTGGGTGCTCCACTTGCCCGGGCAGCAGTCTTTACTTCAGAAGATAAAAAGGCAGGGAATGGGGTCGGGGTGCCATCTCCCCCCCAACCTTGTGGATTGCAGAGCCCTGGGGTGCTCTACTCACTCAAAAGGGCGCTCCAAGGAAGTGCGCTCAGCAGCAGCTGCTGCTCAGAGGGATCTTTGTGCTTTGTTGGCTCTTTCTGTTGGGAAGCACTGGAAGTTCAAACTTGAGAACACGATTGAAGCAGGTGGTTTGGGGGGTTGAGGGAGTGAATCCAGCCACCTTTTACAACCTTTTTTGCATTTGCTGTTTAGAACAGACCAGACTTGCCCCTCCCTGGCTCCCAGTCATGAAAGACTGTTCCTTCTCTCCTCCTGCAGATTTATTACGGATGTTTTTTGATTGCCTGTACGATGAGGAGGTGATTTCGGAGGATGCCTTCTATAAATGGGAAAGCAGCAAAGACCCGGCCGAGCAGAATGGGAAGGGCGTAGCGCTGAAATCGGTCACAGCCTTCTTTACGTGGCTACGAGAAGCTGAAGAAGAGTCTGAGGATAATTAAAACTGAATACAAAAAAAAAAACTCAAAACAAAAACAATTTAAGTATTTTTTTAAGAAAAAGTTTCATGTCTTCGCCAATCACAGTGCAGAAAGGCCAATTCTCGCGCAGAAATCCCCCTTGCCGCCCTGCCCCCCCGTGCACGAGTGGGAGAGGGGAAGAACCAGAAGACCGAGAGATTGAGGAAGAGATGTCGGCGCCAAGGTGATCATGCAGGACAAAAAGTATCTGGAATTCAAGTCCATTTAAAATCTGAGGGCAGGAGCATTAAACCAAAACACATCTATTATTCATAGAAAATATTTTCTGTTTTAATCTTCTTTACTTTTAAAACAAGGAGTCATACTTCAAACACACACACACACACACAAATCTGTTTAGATTTTTTTAAGTGAGAATTTTAATTTATTTATGAACTGCAAATGCCAGAGTAATTTTAAAATTTGCAGTTTCTGTGATAAATTGTATAAGAGGCAAAAAAATTAAAAAGCAAGAGAAATAAATTTTCCCTCCTTGCAGATCCACCTCAGTTTTGTTTCAAAGCATGATAGGTATGTAATAAGTTTGTTAAGGAGGTTGGGAATTAACTGGGCGAAGGAGAGGAACTTTTCATTTTCATTTTTCTTGAGAAAAATGCCATCCAAACTTTTTGCCTGCCTCTCAGCTTGCTTCCAAAATTAAAAAGAAAACAAGTAATGAAAAGTGTAACCTTGGAACCACGTTTGAGAAAAATGGCTGTGGACCAGACTGCTTGGAAAAAATGCGCATTCAGTTCAAATCTTTGCTGCCCTGGAAGCAGGAAGAAGAAGAAAAAAAATGTACTAGTGATAACTTTCTGAACCTTTAGAGCAACTTTAAGGCTTGTAAATACATAGAACAAATATTTAAAAAGAAAGAAATTGACTCGATACTATTTCTTTTCACTTTCAAAATACAAAGAACAAAATAAAGACAAACCTTGCAAGTTTAAAAGACCAGGACGTGGCTTTCTCTTTTGACAGCAGCACGATGGCCGCTGCCCCCCCGGCTTGGGCCACGGCTGCCTTCCCGTTGGGGGGGGCAGTGCGCTAGGCATGCCTGGGTGCTCCTGTGGGCCGCCGCTTCCTCTCCCCGAGAGAAGGGGTGGTGTCCCAGGGCTGAACAAAGAAGAGAACCTTTTGTGTGGAGATTGAATTGTCTGTGCCCGCCTGTTGTATCTTCAGGAAATTGTGTCTTTTGCACCTTTTTCTACCCTGTTGGGGAATCAGCGCAGTGGGCATGCTGGAAGAGAGGTAAAAACGGTGGGCTTCTTGTCAAGGTTCGTTTTTAGCAGCTTGTTAATTCTGCAAAACACTGTTGCTTTTTATTTAGATTGTTTCACTCTCTGAAATAGAGTGCACCAGAAGGTAGACAGAGGTCAGCGTTTATGCCAGGTGCTGTACGTCCTGTAAGGTGAAGCTGTTGGCTCATCATTTCAAATGGCCTGTTGTGGCAAAAGGCAGCCCTCCCCCCCATGCTTTCTTGGCGGCCTGTGAACATTCCTAGAAGTGTGTGCTGCAAGGAGCACAGTTAACCCCAGGAGAGGTGGCCTGACTGTACCCAGCTCTAGCTGTTGATTTTAGCAAAGGGTATCCTTCAATGTTGGTGTCTTCACAGCCACCCCCAGAATTATTCATCCTTAGTGGGTTTTGGCACAGGCAAAGTATGCTGTGTCAAAGGAAAGGAAAGGGGCTTTATAAGCACACCTGTACAATAAGCAGTCTTTGGCCCGGCAATATCAAAGCCAGTAGCAACACCACCAGGGGGGTTTTCTTCCACCTCCTGGGACCATACCAAGCGTTCCAGCCCACCCTGATGACAGCATATGCTCTTATACCAGATGTTGTAAGGAACAAAAAGAAAGGCCATTGTGCCATGCAATCATCCTCTAGTTACACCTCTTTCCTTTTCAGGTGAGTCCTTCTGTAGGAAAGAGGGAGCTGGTTAACTCATCTTGCAGAGTTCTAGCAAAACTAAAGCTGCATTTTCTAATGAGTCTGTTTTGTTTCCTTCCAGCTTTAATGTAGTTCAGCTTTGACTCATAGTAATAATGTGCAAAAAAAAAAGCCTACATGTTTACTACATTTGCTACTAAAATTCCAAGACTTAAAAGAGGCATTAAGCCACTGAACAGCTTACGGCGTGGTTTTTGCAGCAGCTCGGTAGTGTATGCGCCCAGGTTTTGTCTCCAAATCTCACAGAGGAAGCACGTTATGGTAAGGTTAAGGTTCCCCTTGACAATTTTTGTCCAGTCGTGTTCGACTCTAGGGGCTGGTGCTCATCCCCGTTTCCAAGCCATAGAGCCAGCGTTTTTGTCTGAAGACAATCTTCCGTGGTCACATGGCCAGTGCGACTTAGACACGGAACGCTGTTACCTTCCCACCGAAGTGGTCCCTATTTATCTACTTGCATTTGCATGCTTTCGAACCGCTAGGTTGGCGGGAGCTGGGACAAGCGACGGGTGCTCCCTCCGTTGCGTGGATTCGATCTTACGACTGCTTGGTCTTCTGACCCTGCAGCACAGGCTTCTGCGGTTTTAGCCTGCAGCGCCACCACGTCCCCTTTTCACGTTAACGGTAGTGAGGTGAAATTGTGATGCTGAAGGTATGCTTTTAGGTTGGTGAATAACTTGTCTCTTTAGGAGCACACTGGCAGAGGAGTTGTTCTAGGTAATGCTAAATTGCAGTGGCACATCAAATATACAGTGTTCCCATGCCCTGTTTGTGATTTTCTCTGAAGAGATCTGGCTGCTTGTGTCCGGCACCTTGGGATATTTTGTGGCTGAAAAATCTCTGCGGTTTCCTAGATCTAGAGATGTGACCTAGAGATGTGAGACCTGGCATATATACTGAAGAGTGTGCCTTAAAGGGGGTTATTTGGGCTTTAAAACGTTATTACTTAATCCAAATGTGTGGCGCTTGAGCCCTGTAGTATCGCCTTCGGTCCCTGACACAGGATGGGCATGCAGGGCTATTTTAAGGAGTGAGCCCGGCCGACACCCCTAACCCCAAGTTGTCCTTCCGTCCCGTCTCTTCCCCCTCCCTCCCTCGCTCCCTCGGCATGTGAAGGGGCCTCCTCTCTTGGGCCCGGCGGCGGCGGAGGAGACATGGCTTTCGACAGGGCAGGCGTCGTCGTCGTCGTCGTCGTCGTCGTGAGCCACCCCGGGCGTTCCCCCTTCTGGGCCTGGGGGGGAACGAAGACACAGGGGGGGGCTGAGGAAGCCTCAGGACGGTCACCCCCGGCCTCGGAGGGAGCGGGAGGGAGAAGGGCAGCTGGAAGGTTCCTTATTCCACGCTGGGGACGTTTCGGGCCCTTTGGCCTCACGGGAGGGGGTGGGGCGGGGCGGCGGGGGCGCGCACGCGCTCGCTCCCGGCACGTGAGGTAACAAGGAGGCGCCTTCCAGTCGTGACTTCTTTTAGCCTCACTCCCCCTCCCCCTCCATCATCAGCGTCGCGCAGGCGCATTTGCTCGGTCGCGCGCGGCCTCCTCGCAGGCCCTTACTGCGCATGCCCGTCCGCCCCGCCCCTCGCTCGCGCTGTGTGTTTTTGTTCGGCGCTGAGGTGTTATTTCTTTTGATTTGGAAAAAGAACACCTATTAACGGAGGCCCACAAAGCGCATGCGTGAAATGGCGGCGTCTATTGGCCGCCGTTTCGAGAGGAGGGGGCGTGGCGGCAGCCCTGGCATTCGAACGGCGCTCGCGGGACGCCCATTGGCCCTCCGTCCGCGCCGGTCCCACCCCTTCCTGCCCCGCTGCCGAGCCCCAGCTTCTCCTCCGTTGCCGCCGCCGCCGCCGCCGTTTCCACCGCTGTTGCCGGAAGGGCCTCACTGGAAGGACAGATCCTGAAGCTGAGGCTCCAGTACTTTGGCCATTTCATGAGAAGAGAAGACTCCCTGGAAAAGACCCTGATGTTA